ATGAATTCTGCCGCGTCGCACCAGTCGTCGCGCTCGTTAGGCGCATCCGCCGCGCCTCTCTACCCCTCCGCGCCACCCTTCCCCCCCACCGCGTCCGCTCCGCCGCCCTCCGCGGCCTCTTCCACCATCTCCTACCCCGCCCTCCCCCTTTCCTCCGCGCGCTTTCCCCCGTCCTCCCCCGCTTCCACCGACCCATACTCGTCCGCACCGCTCCGCATGCCGTCGCAACACCGTCCCCCGTCCTCTTCATCCGCCTACTTCCCCCGCTCCCCCTCGTCCGCCTCCGCCGCGTCCTCCTCCATGAACCTTGCGCGGAACGTTGGGCGGGGGATCTGCGCGTCGTGTCTGGCGGCGTCGCTCTTCGCCGCGCTCCTCTGCACATCGCTCCCGCTCGCCGCGCTCCTCATTTGGCGGCTTGCGCCCACCCCGTTCGACCAGACCCGCCCGCTCCTCTTTGACTTCCGCCAGCACGAGCCCTCCGCCGTCGCCTCTTTCCTTCCGCGCCCATACACCCTCCTCCCGCCGCCGCCGCAGTCTCCCGCCTCGTCTTCCGCCTCTGCAGGCGCGCACGCCACCTCCCCGTCCGCTTCCGCTCCCACGAAGCGGTTCTTCTCCGCCGCCCCCCCGCGCCTGCTGCAGCGCAACCAGCGCTACGAGGCGGTTCTCCGCCTGCGCCTTCCCGAATCGGACCACAATCTCGCGCTCGGCATGTTTCAGATATCCGCGCACGCGCTTTCCGCCGATTACGCCGTCCTCTCCGCCAATTCCCAGCCCGCCACTCTCCGCTTCCGCAGCCGCCCCATCCGCGCGCTGCGCACGGCGGTGCTCGCGTTCCCGCTCCTCTGGGGCTTCCGCGAGGAGGCGCAGCGGATCGAGCTGCGCGTTCTGCGCGGAGTCGAGGGGAAAGTGCCCGTGGCGGCGGTGCGCGTGATGCTTGCGCCCAAGGCGGGCGCGGGGCCAGGCGCGGGGCTTCCGCAGATCTACGACGCGGAGCTGCGCCTGCGCGCGGTTCTGGGGGGCGCGGGGGGGCTGTGGCTGCTGGCGTGGCGGGTGATTCTCTTCACTGTGTGCGCAGCAGGGATATTCGGTTTGCAGGCGATGGTGCTGCTGGTGTGCTGTGGTGGCGTGATGATACGGCTGCTGTGGCAGGGCGGAAGCAAGGAGAGGGACGCAGGGAGGGACGGCGGGAGCATGGGGAGATTGGGGCGGATGGGGAGCATGGGCGAGGTTGCGGGGAGAGAGGAGAGGGAGGAGAGAGAGGAGAGAGAGGAGAGAGGCGTAAGCGGTAGCGGTTCCTATGGCATACCGTTTTCTGCATTACCCTCAGCTCCTCTTGCTGCTCCTGCTGCTCGTGCTCCTCCTCCTGATGCTGCTACTGCTCCCTATGGCCGGATTTCGCCAGAGGAAGCGTCTGAGGAGGTGCTAAGGCCGGTGTTCATGCAGGGGGAAGGGGAGAGGGGCAGGGGGAAGGGCAAGGCGGACGAGGGGGGCGCGGGGGGCGATGGGGGGATGGATTTTCTGAGAGACGAAGGGGCGATTGCGGGGAGAGTGAGGGCGTGGATGGGGGAAGGTAGCAGCAGCAGCAACAGCAGCCTCGGCATCGGCCCGACCACCCCTGCTTCTGCTGCCCCAGCTGCCCCTGCTACCTTGCACGCTTCTCGGTATTCCCCTGTTGGCCTTGCACCTGCTGCTGGCGCTGCTCTTGGTCGGCCTGTGGGGGATGTGGGGGGGGAGGGGGCGGAAGCGGGGTTGGTGGGGGCGGAGGAGGTGGTGGGAGTGGGAGTGGGTGCGGGAGTGGGTGAAGGCGGGGAGGAGGGGGCGAGTGACGAGGAGATAGAGTCGCTGCTGGCAGCAGGGCAGCAGCTGCTGCAGGCACGGGTCCGGCAGGCAGTGGCAGGAGGGGCAGGACTGGAGGAAGAAGAGGGAGAGGAGGAGGAAGAGGAGCGGGGAGGAGGAGAGACGTGGAGGCCAGGGCTGAGGCAGAGGCGGGTGGGGGTGGGACGAGCAGGGGGGCAATCAGTGGCAGCAGTGCCTGCAGCACCTGGAGCGCCGGCAGTGGTGTTAGGTGCTCTTGGTGGAACCCCAGTGGCAGGGGGCATGGGCAGGTGGGGCGTGGCAGAGGCAGTGAGTGCTTCTCATGCTGCTGCAGATGCTGCGTATCGATCAGGGGTCGTGGCAGCAAGTGCAGCTGCTGGGGAGGGTGGTGCTGCCATGGGGCTTAAAGGGGGGGCTGTGGGGGAGCAGGGAGGAGGGGTGTGGGGAGCGAGGGGAGTTGGAGAGGTGGGGCGTGGTGGAAATGCGGAGTGGGAGGAGGAAGAGGACGAGTATGACGAAGAGGAGGAAGATGAGAGTGAAGCGGAAGAGGAAGAGGAAGGGAGGAGAGATGAATCGGAGTTGGGGGGAGAGGAGGAGCAGGGAGACGGGGGGGATGATGGGGAGTGGGAGGATGTGAGAGAGGGTGGAAGTGGAGAGGATGAGGAAGAGGAGGAAGAGCGGGAAGAGAAGGAGGAGGAGAGGATGATAGGGAGGGTGGATGCAGCAGCTGCTGCAGCAACGGCCGCAGTGGCAATGGTAGGGTTGGGTCAAGAGAGGAGGCAGAAGCAGGGTGAGAAGGAGAAGGAGAAAGGAGGGAGTGTGTGGGTTCTAGGCGCTGGAGCAGCGGAGTGGGATGAGGGCGAGAGTGCGCGGGGAGGAGAAGACGAGAAGAGGGTGACGGGTAGGTAGGTAGGGGAGGAAGGGTGGGCTAGCAGCAGGGGTACCCGTATGGGTGCTTGAGCATGGTTGAGTTGGGGGGGAAGGGGGGAGAGTGCTCTGATGACTGGCAGTGATGCATGAGTTGGGACGTGGGTGTACAGATGTGCTGTATACATTCGAGGCATTTTGCCATTCTGTAATGATTTCTGTTCTGTAAAGCTATATGAGTCATGGAGTTAACTACAGACATCGTCCAGATATAAGACATTAGACATATGTGTCTTATCCACTACTGTATCCCCTTGGAAAGATGCTCTAGGCTGAGGGGCTCAGTTTTTGGGGCCTATTTTGTGGGGGAAGGGGAGGGAGGGAGGTGGGGAAAAGTGGGGCTTGTACCGTCATACCCCGGATATAAGCGCCACCCGCGGATAAGCGCCTGGCGCTTTTAATCGGCGCCCGGCGCTTATATCCGGTGCTCGATTATAAGCGCACCCCCCTGAAAAAACTTGTTTTATTATAAGCGCACGTAAACTTTAATTTTTGAATTGTGTTCGAAACACTGTAACGATTCCTACTTTAGCAGGGGAATGTGTTGCAGTTTTTTAAGTTTTATTAATAGGTCGTAACCCACATACAGTGTCGAGAGCAAGAATGAGAAACCTCAAAACCTAAAATGTCTGCGCCTGACGGCGCTGTCTTGCCTTGCCTAGCAAGCAAATGTCGCTCAAGCTACACTTGTCCCACACTTTTGTAAATGCCACGAGAGTTTTTATGGGGGATGGAAGTTCTCCCTTTACAGCCACATCGTTTTCAGCTCGGGATGGAGAGAGGGGAAACCAGCCGCGTCGAAGTGGAGCAGTCTCTTCCTGATGCCGAACCTGACTCTAGAGGCGCTCCGTTTCTGTTTCTTGGTGGACGCTTTAGCTCGACGGATGAAGAAGATTTTGCACGCGAGTAGGAAGACTGCGAGAACCGTGTGCAGGGACTGTATCGTAGAGGTTTGGACTTGATTGTGGACGGCATCGCAGCGCTCATTCCACAGCACCTTTGCTGCTGCACCCGCGAGGAGGCTCCATGGCGCTACTCGGCCAGCCGGCGTAGCGAGCGGGAATAGGGTCATCTCGGGCGGGACGTTAATGCCTAAGTGGTCACGAGCAGTGCGTTGGAGCGCCGAGGTGATAGCTGGCGCGTTGCCACAGTCCGAGAAGATGTGAGTGAGCGTCTCCGGCGTCCCGTTATTGCAGCGTACGCAGTTTCGTCCGAGAGGAGTGAAAGGGACACGCGTGCCGCACGGTAAGGAGCGGATGTATAGGCGGTACAGCACATCACGTTGCCTGCTGGGTTGCTCAGAGAGGAAAGGCTGCGTCAGGTTGGGGAGGGTTTCCAGAGGTTCCGGAAGCAGCTCGTTCCATTGTTCTATGTGTGGTAGCGGTTGCCTGGTGTAGATCAGTTTCCGGATGGCGGCCAGGGACGAGCAATGTTGCAGAAACTCGAGCCTGCTGCCGAGGCCAGCGCCCGAGCAGAAAGTTCATGTTAGCCAGCCGTTGCGCACGAAAACTGGTATGACCGAGGTGAGTGGGAGGATCCGCGAATCTGTCTCTTTTTCCGCTATTCGGAGGTCCGTGACGGTGAAGCAGCTGAACCTCGCCGTCTGGTTGGAGAATACCGCCTGCACCTGTAGTACCTGCTGCGCCGCTCCGGGACCGGGGGAAGCCATTATAGCCCATTCCCCAATCGCCAGGTACTCCGGGGGAGGTGAGTAGGTGGTGAGTATTGGCCACCAGGTTTTGGGGACTGCATGGTAGATGTCCTTGATGACTCGAAAGGTGCCGGGGTAATCTTCCGAGGGGAATTTGGCCTTGATTTCCTCGTCTTCGAGCTTGCGGGAGCCTGCGGTTGCGGGAGCGAGAATGTCTCCGAGTCGTAATTCCTTGGCGAGAAGAAACTTTTCTCCTTTGAGGCGACCGAAGGGACGGCCATGTGGTCGCCGTATTTCCCGGTTGAAGGCGAGCGGTTCAGCCATGAGCACCCACGGTTCAAGTCTGGGCGGGTGGACGACGGTGGGAAGCGCCAGAGTGGCGGTGAGTTCCGCGATTGCACGTGCCGGCGTTGTGTCAGGCAAGTATTTGAGTATATCCTTGTGGGCAAGAAAGCAATGCAGCCCATATGGTAAGGTGTAGCATGTTCTGGCGATCTCTTCTGTTGGGGTGGGAAGAAAACGTCGGGCAGCACGTTGCACATTCAGCGCTTGGATATGCTTGGAGGGTTCAATGGCCCCGACACCGCCGTGGCAACGCTTGTTGTAGAGGTATTTCTTCGGGACAAGCCTGGTTCCTCTGCCCTGGGCGCGGTACTTGGAGGTGGACAGGAGGTTTCCAACGATGAGGTCAAGTTGTTTGGTGACACCTTCAGGGGGGGGCTGAAAGCGACCTCCAAAGCCGAAAAGGGGAACAAGGCGCTCGGTGTTTAAGGCAGATCGGCAGGTGACGGTGGCATGTAATTTGGCAAAGAAAGCCGCCGTGATGCGTATTCTGCAGGTGATTGTCTCCCATGTGGTCGCTCCAAGTGCGTCCGATTGGATGTAAATGCCCAAAATGCGCTCGGCTTCGTTCGGATGACGGATAGGTATGGGACATGTGGGGTCGATGTCGCTAGCCGGGACGTGAAAAAGGGATAGTGAGCACTTTGTCCAGTTGGGGTGTTCGCCCGAGATATCAGCAAAAGACTGGAGAAGGCTGATAGCTAACTGCAGTTCAGCGGCTGAGTTGAGGAAGAGAGACATGTCGTCGGCATAGCAAGCAGCGAGCCGACGTTGCGTAGGGGATAAGGCAAAGCCAGGGAGGGAGACAGAGAGGTGGCGGTGGAGGACCTCAATCACACAGATGAAAAGCAGGGGTGCCAGTGGGCAGCCCTGCCGCACACCGGTACGTACGGGGAAAGGGGGGCCAGGCAAATTATTGACTAGCACTTGCGTGCTAGTTCCGGAGTGGAGCAACCGGACCCATGTGACGAACTCTGCTGGGAGCCCGAGGTGTGAGAGACACGTGTAGAGGAAATCTCGGTCGACCATATCGTATGCTTTCTTGATATCAACTGTGACTAGTATGAGGGGAATATTTTTCCTTTCTGCCCATTCCAGGAGGTCTAGAGAGTCATTGATTGTGTCCCCGATGCGGCGTCCTTTAATGAAGGCGGACTGTGCTGGATGTATGATCCGACGGAGAGTGACTTGCAGACGTTGTGCCAAGCAAAACGCCAAAACTTTATAGTCCGAATTCATTAGTGTGATTGGTCTTAGATTCTCCACGAAGGCGGCGTCGGAACGTTTGGGAATGAGGATGGTTTGCCCATGGAGCATTGAAGCGGGCATCTGCTGGGATCTTTCGATGGCAGTGAAAAGACGTTGAAGCGCAGGAGCGAAATGGGTCGAGTAAGTTCGAAAGTAGTCGCCTGCTAGGCCGTCTTGCCCAGGAGTTTTTCCTCGAGCCAGAGTTTTGATGGCTCGTTGGACTTCAGGGAGGGAGATGGGAGCTGCCAGACGCGCTATCAAGGGTTGCGGTAAGACGGATGGGTATATATGTGTCCAGAAGTCTGGAGAAGGGGAGGGTTTGTGCTGGCCACTGTATAGGGTAGCGTAAAAATTGGTGCAGTGAGCCGACATAGTTTGCAGGTCTTGTATTTTTTCCCCTGAAGGAAGGGTGAGGTGAGGGATGGTAGCCGCCTTGAGGCGTGATGTGAGGCCTACGAGAAGGGAGGGTAGGCCCATTTCTTTGGCACCTTCCACTTTTAGCTTGGCTTTTAAGGCAATGTCGGCAGCTTTTCCTGCGATGTATTGATCAAGCTGTTTGGAGGTTTTGTCCAGCCTGGCACGGGTTTCCAGGTCGCGTGGCGAGCGGACCAGTATGAGTTGAAAACGACAGATTTCATTTTGAAGGTGAGTGAGAGTGTGTTTTACTCGTAGCCGTTCTTCTCGAGAGTGTTGATGCAGGAAGTGGCAGAGCCGCTTCTTCCACGGGTCCCACATTTCGGGTCCGAGTGGAGTGGGAAGTTGCTGACAAGCTTCGGTCGTGAGTTTCTGTACGAAGGGGTGGTGAATTAGAGAGTGCGGTAGCCTCCAGGCGCGGGGAGCACAGTGTGTATTGTTGAGACCGAGCAGCAGCGCGGGATAGCGTGAATGGTCTGAGACAGTGTGCGCAACAGGTTGATGTGTAAAGGCAAGTATCCGCGAGAGCCACGTGCTGGAAAGGTAGATTCTGTCCAGCCGGGACTTGGGTGGGTCAGTGGGATTGCCGTTGAGAAAAGGAGACTCATAAATAAATTCAATAGCATCAGGGTGGCGGCTACGAAATGCGTCGGCAAGCCCATGTTTCTCCATGACTGAGGAGAGAAGAGCGCCTTCTCTTACTTCGGTGGTGCGTAGTTCTCTGTTACGATCCCTTGTAGTGGTAACAACGTTAAAGTCACCCATGACCATTGTTGCCTGCGTGGCAGATGCAATATCAAGAGCGGCATCAACTTTTGCTTCCCACCAGCGACGTCTCTCTGGCTGATAGGGAGGTCCGTACACGCAGAAACATCTGAACTGCTCCTGCAGCACTCGGATATGTACCATCAAGAGATAACCGTCGTCGGAGGAGGAGCGGTCTAAGATAGAAATTTCTTGGTTGAAAATAAGTACTGCAATACCACCAGCGTCTGCTGTGCCATTACTGACGGTGGGCGGGGTTTGAGCGTAAGCTTTGGGTCGGAATTTGTGAAGAAGTTTGGAGAAATTCCTGGTTAGCCGTGTATCTATCAGGACTAGTATATCTGGCATTTGTACAAAAGAGGCTTTAAGTTCATCCATTTTCTGCAGGGAGTTAAGGCCGTTAACATTAAGACAGGAGATGTTGATGGGGACTAACATCGGTGCCCGCAGAAACCCCCTGTGCATAGAGATGCACACATCCACGGGGGTGTTGTGTTTCTGTCTTCACTGACAAGGATTGTATGGCTCCAATTAATGCCGTTTTTCCTGTTAATGTCAAGGGTATGATATTCCAGAGGTTGCCAAGAGTCGGTTATCCTCAAGATTTCCAGAGATGGTACATAGTCACGATGGTAAGCATAGAGTTGCGTTAGGGCCAGCAAACTGAATCGTCCAGAAATGTGCGTTGATTCCAGAGTGGTACACAACCAGCACACGGCAATGCCACAGCAAACTACCACGGCCTGCGCCGGGCCGAGACGGCATACAACAACGAGACAAACAAGACAGGTTCTTAGTCTGGTCAGGTGCGACATTTCACAGCAGTGATGCCAAGAACGAAGCAATCTCCTGGCGCTGGCGGAGGTCGTGCACCTTCATGGGCCCCAAGGTTTCCATCGCAGTCTGCTCGGTTTCCGTCTGCATGAGGCGCAAACCATGTCCGGGCGAGCGGATGTGCTCGAAGGCGCTGTCGATCGCAGGCCCACATTCGAAATCGCATATGGCGCAAGTCCAGAGCTCCACATCGTCCTCTGATCCGATGTACAGGATACCCGGGTCTGCTTTGACTGCCAGCGGGACGGGGGTCTGCCCAAGCAGCTTGGCTGATAGTAGGACAAGGGCAGCAGAGGAGAAGGTAGACAGAGGGATGGGTGAAGGCGAGGGGAGTCTTTCCAGACTGCACTAAGACCGGTGAGGCACCATAAGGGCAGTGACAAGAGATACGGCCCAGGGAGAACAACAGGTGGGGGGAGGCATAACACCAAGTACAAGAAGCAAGGGCAAGGTGCGAGAAGGAAAAAGGCATGTGACGAGCACAGCTTAAGGCTCGAAAAACCAGGGGCGTACCATTGACACTTTGAAGCTGAGCAACCGTGATCGTGAAACGGTTGGCGAGGCGTCTGCTGCGGGTAGCAGCGAACCACTGGTGATCACGAGTCCTGTGATTACTCGTACAGATGTCACACGCGTGACATGACAGATTAACGATCATGGGAAGCGGGGCGTCCTCGAGCCACAGCACGGCGGGGATTGTCAGAATGTTATTATTGTCTAGCCTGTAGTGGGGTGCTCTATAGCGAGTACAACCCAGTTAGGGTTTGCTATATGTACCCCAACTGCTGCTAGTGAAACCTCCTCTTTTGCCTTCATTCTCTCTTGCCTAGCTAGGTCAACCCTAGCTATGGCTCCTCAGTATACCCACTATCTCGATATGGTCTCAAGCCCTTACGTCCTTGGCCTGTGGGCCCCACCTCGTTGCTTCCGCTGCAACTTCCGCTGCTACTCTATGTGCCGCACGCCCCGTGGCGTGCGGCAGTTTATTCTTCCCGCCGTGCGCCCCGAGGCGCGCGGCGGTTTTCTGCCCGCCGTGCGCCCCGTGGCGCGCGGCGGTTCTCTGCCCGCTGTGCGCCCCGAGGCGCGCGGCGGGCTTCTGCCCCGTCACTCGACGCGTCGCCCCCGGGAGGCGTTGCGACGGGCGACGGGGACCCGCGCGTCGCCCCCCGTCGCCCGTCGTGGCCTGCGCGCGGCCCGTACAGCCGGCGTGCGGCCCGTACGGGCTGCGCCAGGCCTGCGCGCGGCCCGTACGGGCTGCGCCAGGCCCGCGCGCGGCCCGTACGGGAAGCGCCAGGCCCGCGCGCGGCTCGGGCCGCCTGCGCGCGGTTCGGGCGGCTATACCAGGCCCGTGGGCGGCCCGTTCCTCGCTGCTCCTGCCCTCTCCACTGTCCCCCGTGCTTCTACCGGCGCCCCACCCCTCCTACAGCCCGTTCTCCTGAATTAGGGTTTGGGGGTGAAGAGTGTGGGGGTGGCGGCTATGGGGGTGTCGGTTGTGAGTTCCTCCCCCTGCTCCTCCTCCTCCCTCGTCTCCCTCTGCTACAGCTGCCGCTGAGGGGGGTGGTGTGTGGGAGCCGAGGGTTTAGGGTTTAAGGGGGGTGCCGTGGAAGTGGAGCTAGGGTGTCAGCAGGGGGTGTGTGAGAGGGGCGTGGGACGGTCGGGGGAGGTTGCGTGGAGGTAGCCGTCGTGACGCCAGCAGCGCCAGTAGTCCGGATGCCCTCGCGCGTTTCGGTAGCCCAGCGAGCCTGCTTCGCCAGTCGCCTGTGGGTCCGTTGCTCCTGTGTGTGCTCGTCGTAGCCGCGGAGCCAGATACTCCCGTAGTCCGGTGCCCTCGTGCGCTCGGTAGCCACTGTGCGCGCCGCTCCTGTTGCCCGTGTGTCTGCAGCTTCAGTCGGCGCCTTTCATCTTCTCGCCCTCACAGTTTCTCCTCCTCCTCACTTGCCCTCTATGATCACCTCTAGCTTTGCTTATAATTGTGAACTATTGCTATGCCTGCTCATTGTACTGATTACACCCCACTTTGGCTATGGGGGTGTGTCAGAATGTTATTATTGTCTAGCCTGTAGTGGGGTGTGTCAAAGTTAGCTGTAGAAAGTAAGAATGAAGAAAGGAGGAGGTTTGCACTAGCAACAATGGTGGTACAAATAGCTAACCCTAGAAGGGTTGTACTCGCTATAGAGCACCCCACTGCAGGCTAGAGCATAATATTCTGACACACCCCCATAGTCAAAGTGGGGTGTAATCAGCAGAGCAAGCAAAGTAGTACAAGCTCAGGGTGGATCACGATGTCACCACACATTCTGAGCACAAGCAAGAAGCAATAGTTTAAGGTTCACAATTATGAGCAAAGCTAGAGGCAGTCACAGGGGGCAAGTGAGGAGGAGGAGGGCTGGTGAGAGGAGAGTAGATAGGAGGCGACGACTGAAGATGCAGACACACGGGCAACAGACGGCTCTGGTGCGACAACGTGGCTACCGGGAATGAGTGCCCCGGAGTACAGGAGTAACAGGCTCCGCGGCTAATATGCGCGGCAGGAGCAACGGACCCACAGGCGACGGCGCAACCGGCTCTCTGAGCTACCGGGAATGAGTGCCCCGGAGTACAGGCGCTGCGTACGACACGACGGCAACCTCCGCTCAACCTCCCCCAACAGTCCCACACCCCTCGACACACACCCCCTGCTGCGCCCCTAGCTCCACTCCCCCTTCACCCCCCTAGGACCACTCCTTCGGCTCCCCACACAACCACCCCCCTGAGCGGCAGCTGCAGCAGCGGGAGACGGAGGAGGAGGAGAAGGAGGGGACGGGGCACACAACCGGCACCCCCACACCCGCCACCCCCACACTCTACATCCCCAAACCCTAAAACGGGTGGGATAGGGGCAGGAGCGCGGGGGACGGCGAGAGGGGGACGGACGAGGCGCGCGCAGGCTGCCCGCGCCGCGCGCTGGCCTGGCGCAGCCCGTACGGGCCGCGCGCGGGCCTGGCGCAGCCCGTACGGGCCGCGCGCGGGCTGTACGGGCCGCGCGCGGGCCTGGCGCAGCCCGTACGGGCCGCGCGCAGGTCCCAGGGGCGCTTCGACGGGCGACGGGGGCGTTTTGGCGGGCGACGGGGGGCGCTCCGACGGGCGACGGGGGCGCTTCGACGGGCGACGGGGGGAGGGCGCTTCGACGGGCGACGGGGGGCACTTCGACGGTGGGAAACCGCCGCGCGCCTCGGGGCCCACGGCGTGCAGAAAACCGCCGCGCGCCCCGAGCGCACGGCGGGATGAAAACCGCCGAAACCCTAGAAAAAATTCGCCCCGAGCGCACAGCAGGAAGAAGTCGTCGCGCGCCCGAGGCGCCCGGCAGGAAGTAAAGCAGCGGAAGCATTAGGTGGTGGGCCCACCCACAGGATCGACCCAGGAGGGTCGACCTGCTCTGATAGCATGTCAAAGTTAGCTGTAGAAAGTAAGAATGAAGAAAGGAGGAGGTTGGCACTAGCAACAATGGTGGTACAAATAGCTAACCCTAGAAGGGTTGTACTCGCTATAGAGCACCCCACTGCAGGCTAGAGCATAATATTCTGACAGGGTGCTCTATAGCGAGTACAACCCAGTTAGGGTTTGCTATATGTACCCCAACTGCTGCTAGTGAAACCTCCTCTTTTGCCTTCATTCTCTCTTGCCTAGCTAGGTCAACCCTAGCTATGGCTCCTCAGTATACCCACTATCTCGATAGGGATGTTGTCGAAGAACGGATCATCGGTCTCCGCAATGGGCAGCCCCATCATCTGCGGCTGCGAGCTCTCTTAATACGGATCATAGGCCTTGTGAAAAGCCCGGATGTCGAAGAGCCATTTCCGCGCCTCCGGCGTGCGGCTCGTCGTGAGGAGCTGACGGACCCCGCTCACTGAGTAGCCGAAGGGAACATTCCGGATCACGAGGTGGGTTTCTCCACGGGCCTTTGCCGCAGTGAAGTCTGGTTCCGGGTCCACGTAGAGTTTCAGCTCCACAGCACCCCCGTTGTAGTGGTAGGTCAGAGGGAACGCCTTGCGAAAGCCCCTGGCGTCGTCCCGGGTGGGGAGTTGGAACACGTGGCGCGCGTACGAGCGGCGGGATAGGCGGAGAACTTCTCCCGGCGAAGACTCAAACGACGGCACACAGTTAGAGTGTGTAAAAAAGGCGGGACGCAAGCCAGTACGAACTCGAGCGATGATTTTGCTGCGATGCTGTTCAGCCAGGTTATCAAGGAAGATTATGGTGACCAGCGTATGCGTGTCGCGTACCAGGTTATGTACAACCTCACCGACGACGTCGCGGTTACGCCGCAGCCGACGGCAAGGACCGTGCAGCACCGGAGCGGGCGCAGCACTGGGCTCCAATCCGTTGAGGGTGAGGTCCGGAGCCGCTTCAGGGTCGGCTGTCGGGTCCATGACGGGCACTGGAGCAAGTCGAGCAGATGACGAGGTTTCCCCCGTGCATATCTTTTTGGCCTGCGGCGACTGGCCCTCGTCCGGAAGGAGGTCGCTCACGGAGGGGACGGGAGCTCCGTTGTCGGCCATTACTGCATCGAAGCCCTGAGTATTAGCCATGACGGGAGCGACGAGGGAAAGGGGAGTCAGGAGGGGGTAGAAATAGGTGATATCATGCTCTCGCAGACGCGACGAGGCGCGATCAATCGGATCCATAGAGGGAAAGGCACATAGTGCGCGCTGCGTGATTTTTCTGGGATTGAAGCCCAGGCAATCAAAATTCCCGAAGGGGTCACGCTGTCTCTCGAGGAAGAACAGGCGTGCGGAACCAGAAGAGTTGGTCGTGAGGCACAGAAAGTCATTGTGACTTGTGTAATAGAGCATGCAGAAGAAACGCCTTGGTCTTACGTCAGACCTGAGCGAGGCCCATCCGGTAGAGGGCATGGCGCGCAGACTAGGAGGTAAGGCTGACGTAGAAGGAGGTCTCTGGCGCCAGCACGTGGCGCCACAAGGTTGTGCAGGTAAGGCGTCCATGGCGTTACGAGAGGCATTTTTCCTCTTCTTGGCATGCCAACGGTGAGGACGTTGTTGGTGACGGTTGCACAACCTGGAGATGTCCACGAGGCCTTGTTCCTGACTGCGGTGACGACGTCGAGCCCACGCATGGTGTTGGGAGTCCGGAAGTTGGGGACCCTCCTGTGTGAAGATAAGGTCGGTGTCCTGGCTGTGTATATCTGGAACAGTGAAGCTCCGTTGTCCGTGAAACGCACCGTTGCGATGAGGCCACGCTGGAGATTGTTTGAAAATAACCTGCCACGGCGAGTGTCTTGATTCATGCTGTTGACTGCTTACCTTGGATGTACAGTTGAAAGCTGCCGATGGAGGGGGTGTTGCCACATTACAAAACGCGTTGTGCAGAAATTATCGCGGCAATGGAGAATCCGACCTGTCGAAACCACAGCAAAGACACGTGAGAGTGAACAGAAGGCAGCAACTTACCGTATGTGACGAGGACCAGAGGGAGATGAGTTCGATGTTCCCATCGGCTCTGGGTGGCGGACGGTTGTTTGAAAATCCAAACTCACGAAGCTGGGCAGGCGGAGAGCGGTTGGAGTTGGTCATTTTCATTGTCATGGGAATGTGTTGCAGATTCGCTTCCCTTCACATTCGGACCCTGCACTGGATGCGGGTCCAGTCAGCAGGAGCAGTCAGGGGCTGTCAGAAGCTGTCAGAAGCTGTCAGGAGCTGTCAGAGTGGGTGTATCTCCAGCGCGCGCGAGAAGTTTCACAGAACTTCGACTCGATTGAAAAAGGCAAGCACGAGATCTACAGCTTGGTGTTAAAAAATATATCAATTATAGATGTCGTTTTATAAACGCCGGCGCTTATAAATTTACCCGATTATAAGCCCACCCCCCCTAAAAAAACATGTTTTATTATTGCCCCCCATGGGGGTATATCCGGGGTATGACGGTAAATTGTAGTCAGATAAAATGTATGATCATCGGGAATTGTATCGTGGTTGCAAGAAAAACAAACAAAATACTACCAAGAGCGTGTTCCTACAGGCCTGTTATCAGGGTACCTGATATCAGACTCGGAGGTCCTCGAGGTTTTCGTTATAAAACATAATTTCGAAGACTGTATCGCGCAACAAGAATTCGCGCGGGAAATTGTTCTGACGTGGCACATTGGCTAACCATCTCGAGTGATCACGCTGCAAATATTTCTGACGCAATTTCGATATCACGTGCAAACAGGTCTCTGTTTTGTCGGATGCGGTTTCCTTTTTTAGTGCGTGCGGCAGTTAGCAGAAATTTGCTTCACACATGATGGAACGAGTCAACTGAGCAATGTTCACACGTTTAATTTCGAACCTAAATCCACAGAAACTATTTCAGGGCAGCACAAAAACAGTCATCCAATCGTTTTTTCTCGCAGTCCTCAGGCCACGCGATATTCCCAAAATAAAAAGTTGTATTAAGCCGAGATGTAAGTGGTTCGTGCGAGTCTGACTAGAGGTTGGCCTGATAACAGGCCGTAGGAACACGCTCTAAGGGTGCAGAATTTGATGGTGCAACGAAACCGTATACAATGTAGCCGAGAATGTCGAAGTTTTCTAACCGTAACTGTAGTGCATGTAGACTAGGTAGCATAGTACCATGCTATTGCTCTCAAGGTGGTGTACTGTCAAAATAGGCTTAGTAACCATGGCTAGGGTTTAGGGACTAGCTTGAGTGTCGAGAGGATTGAGCATGCCGAAGAGGTTTGACTAAGAGAAAACAGTACAAGATATAGGGAAGGCAACAAGGTGCACCAGCAACAAAGTTGCATAACTACACTACAGCTAAACTACAGGCAGTTACATAAGATATATGGAAATATATATTACGACACGCCCCCATAACTGCCTGCAGTGACAGCTATGTGCAGCAACGCCCCCTAAATGGGTACACCAGGGCAAAGTAGCACAGCGGAAGAAGCAGGGCAAGCATATGCAGTGGCAGCAAGCGCAATAGTGTCAGATGCAGCTGCGGCAGATGCACAACCACGGCAAAATCAGCAGCGGCGGGTGCAGGTGGCGGCAGGCCGCCTGAGGAGCAGGCTCTGTGGCTGCAACGTGCAGCAGGACAGCAGCGGCTCGACGGCAGCACCTGCAGGCCCCAGCAGCAAGACAGCAGCAGAAGGTGCAGGTGGCGGCAGGGGCGGCAGTAGGAGGTGCCACGGTAGCAGCAAGCGGCAGCTGCATATGCCCAGCTGACTTCCGCCACCCTCTCTCACCCTCCCCCCCACAGCAGCACACGCGGCAGTGAGAGAGAGAGAGGAGAAGGGGCGGCTGTTGGCGTGGCAAAAACTCTGCCGCCACACGCTTACCCTTCCCCCCACAGCCCGCCACCTTCACGTGCACCCACGCCTCCTCCCCGCGGCCGCCACTCCCTTCCCCCTTTTCTCCCCCTCCCCCCCCAACAGCGACCGTGGCCGTAGGCACGTACGGCCGCGACGAGGGTGGGCATGACGAGCAGCGGGGGCGGGCGAAAAGGGTGCGCGCAACGGGCGCGACGAACGTCGCGCTAGGGGACGCGACGAGCGTCGTGATTAAGGCCGCGACGGGGCGAGAAACAGGGCCAGCGGAGCGCGATGGGGCGACGAATAGGACCAGCGGAGCGCATGACGGGGCGACGAGCGAGGCGCATTTCGTGCTGTGCGCCCGTGTGTTCGACGGGGCGCGCCATGGCAAAGGCTAGCGGTGGGCCCATTGTGAATACGAAACGGCCAAGGATCGTAACCGCTCTGATACCATGTCAAAATAGGCTTAGAACCATGGCTAGGGTTTAGGGACTAGCTTGAGTGTCGAGAGGATTGAGCATGCCAAAGAGGTTTGACAAAGAGAAAACAGTACAAGATATAGGGAAGGCAACAAGGTGCACCAGCAACAAGTTGCATAACTACACTACAGCTAAACTACAGGTAGTTACATAAGATATATGGAAATATATATCACGACATGTACCTGTCAGAATATAATGCTTGTCTAGTCTGTAGTGGGGTACTCAATAGTGAGTATAACCCTTTTAGGGCTTGCTATTTGTACCCCCCTCCTTTCTAGTTTAAAGCTGTTCTCTTATTTCACTTTCGTGTACCCTAAACCCTAGCCATGACTTGCTAGTATTCTAATATGGAATCAGAGCTGTTACGCTCTTGGCCTGTGGGCCCCACGTGCTTCCGCTGCTTTCCTGTCTGTCACGCGCCACGGGGCGCGCGACGCCTTTTTTTTCTTCCCGCCGCGCGCCCCGTCGACCCGCGCGTCGCCCCCCGTCGCCCGTCGAAACGCCCCCCGTCGCCTGTCGAAGCGCCCTTGGGCCCCGCGCGGGCCGCGCGCGGTCCGTACGACCTGCGCCAGGCCCGCGCGCGGCCCGTACGGCCTGCGCCAGGCCCGCGCGCGGCCCGTACTGTCTGTCCCAGTGTCGCAAGCCGTCCCCCGAGCTTCTGACTGCGCTGTCCCTCGCTGCTGCCCGCGCTTCTGCCTGTATTAGGGTTTGGGGTGGCGAGTGTGGAGGTGGCGAGTATGGGGGTGACGAGTTGGTGTGTGCGCCGTCCCCTGCTCCTCCTCCTCCTCCGTCTCCCACTGCTGCAGCTGCCGCTGAGGGGGGTGGGTGTGTTGGAGCCGTCGGAGTTGTACGAGGGGGGTGGCGTGTGAGCAGTGCTAGAGGTGCAGCAGGGGGTGTGTGACACGGGTGTGGGACAGCTGGGGGAAGTTGAGTGGAGGCAATCATCTTGTCGTCCGCAGCGCCTGAAGTCCAGAGAGCCACGACCCCCTGTGGCCTGAGTAGTCCGGGGCTCTGCGCCCGGTAGCCACAGTGTGAGCACTCTTGGTAGTCCAGAGAGCCACGACCCCCTGTGGCCTGAGTAGTCCGAAGCTCTTCGCCCGGTAGCCACAGTGTGAGCACTCCTGGGAGCACAGAGAGCCAGCTGCGCCTGTCGCCGTGTAGTCCGGGTTTAGCCTGGTAGTGACAGTTCTGCGCACTTCTGCTGCCCGTGTGTCTGCAGCTTCAGCCGTCGCCTCCCATCTTCTCGCCCCCACAGTTTCTCCTCCTCCTCACTTGCCCTCTGTGATAGTCTCTAGCTTTGCTTATAATTGTGAACTACTGCTCTGCCTGCTTGTTGTGCTGATTGTACCCCACTTTGACTATGGGGGTGTGTCAGAATATAATGCTTGTCTAGTCTGTAGTGGGGTACTCAATAGTGAGTATAACCCTTTTAGGGCTTGCTATTTGTACCCCCCTCCTTTCTAGTTCAAAGCTCTTCTCTTATTTCTTTTTTGTGTACCCTAAACCCTAGCCATGGCTTCTAAGCCTTAGCTAGTATTCTAACAGTACCCCCCTTTACCACCTTCCCTTTGCTTTATCTTGTATTTTATTTCCATAGTGAACCCGTCTTCCCTCTCAATATTCTCGCTACTCTCGACCCTAGCCTGGGTTTATCTTAAACCTAGGCTACCTTCACATGGTATGAGAGCTACTATGGACTAAGGACCTAAACATTGTTGTTCTAATGGCGCTCGTTGCAGCGCTACCCATCGCGCAGCTCGTTCTCCCTACCCGCCGCGCACCTATTGCTGCAACCGTCGCCACGATCATGACGACGGGCGCGGTTGTGGTGGCGACAAGCTCGGGGGTGACGCTTTCGGGTGCATCACCCTGACCCGGGCAGAAAAAAAGTGAAACCCAAAGCAACCGGCATGCCATTCGGAAGCCTAAACCCTAAAATGTTAGGGTTGAGGCTCCCGAGTGGCATGCCATCCATCTGAGGTTTAGTTTTTTTGCCCCGGGCAGTTTGCCGTTTTGTCGTCTGCTCTTTGTCGTTTCCTCACCTGCTACATTCCGT